AAAAAAAAAAAAAGACAGTTATATCAACAGATAATGAGTCATTGACTTTATATAGCACCTTTTCCCTTTACAGAAAGAATCACATCATCACATCAGAGTTTTGTGAGGTATTTTTTTTTTGGGGGGGGGGAAGTACCAATATCTTTTATTAAAAATGTGGTAACGTTGGTTTATAGTACCATATATGATTTAGGGGGGTAGGTGCACACCTCTTATGTATATTACCATTCCCACCACCAAAGCATCCAGAATCCTTCACCAAACACCACTGGACTCCCTCATCCTTTTGTTCCATACCCCAATGTCCACTCACCCTCTCCAGTTGCTTCAATTCTGCAGTCATATTTCTAGGGATTATTCTGGTTTGGTTTTGTCTTTTCCTTTGTTTCTCTCTCTTGCACCTGTGAATGAAATCCTCTGGTGTTTGTCTTTCTCCTTCTAACTTACTTCACTCAGCCTAATCCCTCCCAGTTCCATCCATGTTGTCACAAATGGCATAGTTCGCTGCTTCATATAACTGAGTAGTATTGTCTTCCCTGTGTACAACTCATCTTCATCCAGCTATCTGTTGTTGGGCACTTAAATTGTTTCCATAACTTGGCTATTATGAACATGCTGCAGTGAACACAGGTGTGTTTATCTTCCTTAACGTTAGTGTTTTCATTTTCTGTGGATAGATACCTAGGGGTGGAATTGCTGGATCATATGGTAACTCTATTTTTGATATTTTGAGGGAACTCAACTGTTTTCCATACCAGCTGAGGCATACTGCATGCCCACCAACAATGCACAGGATTCCTTTTCCTGCACACCCTCCCTGGCATTTGTTGTTTCTAGATTTTTGCGTGGTTTTTTTGTTTGTTTGTTTGTTTTAATATGGGCCATTCCCACAGGAGCAAGGTGATACCTCATTTTGGTTTTGATTTGCATTTTTCTAATGATAAGTGATATTGGACATTTTTTCATATGCCTGTTGGCAATCTATCTATCTTCTCTGGAGAATTGTCTGCTTAGCTCTTCCACTCATTTTTGATTGGGTTCGTTCTTTGTTTTCTTTTAATTGAGTTGGATGAGTTCTTTGTAGATCTTGGATATTAGCCCCTTGTTGGATATCTGATTCGCAAATATTTTCTCTCATTCATTGGGATGTCTTTTATTTTCATGATAGTTTCTTTCACTGTGCAGAAATGTTTTACTTTCATGTAGCCCCATTTCTTCATTTTTGCTTTTGTTTTCCCTAGGGACTTCACTGAAACAAAGATCATGAAGTATTTTGCCTATGTTTATTTCAATGTACCTTTATTTCTGATCTTATATCTGAGTCTTCAATCCATTCAGAGTTAACTTTTAATATATGATGTGAGTCAACGCTCATGTTCCTGCACATGGCAGTACCATTTTCTCACTATCACTTGTTAAAGAGTCATTCTCCATCACATAAGTTTGGTTCCTTTAATAAAGGAATTGTTCATATGTGTGGGTTTATTTCTGGGATCTCAATTCTATTATATTCCATTAGTCTGTATATCTGTTTTATTCCAGTACTGGATTGTTTTTATTATTATAGCTTTATAATATACTTTGAAGGCTTATACTATTCTTATAAGTCTATACCTATACTTCCTCTTCTTTTTTTTTTAAGACTTTTTTATTTATATATACAGAACTGGGGTACAGGCCAGAGGTGCAGGGGCAGTGAGAGGACTCACCAGAGACAGAGTGGGGAGCAGGACAGGCAGATCAATGAAGCACACTGCTGAGGGGAGCAGCAGGAGGGTCTGAAGAGGTCTGCCAGGCCATGTGGTCACCTCTGCGGCTGGGGTCGAACTCAGGCTGAAGTGGCTTTAGCTTCTTAGTGCTGTGCTTTAACCTGCTGTGCCACCAGGGAGGGCCCCATTCCTCTTCTTTTTATCAAGATAACTTCGGTTATTTGAAGTCTATTTTGGTTCCATATAAGTTTCAGTAGTGTTTGCTCTATTCTTTGAAGACACCTCCAATTTCTTTCACTAACATGACAGCAATGCACAGAAATTTAGATTTTCACTAAATTTTTCAAGAATCCAAATGTCATATTTATTGATATCTGCTTTGGCCCACATCTCCTTCAGACTACTCCTCTGTCCTTCTGTGATAGCCAAGAACCCCCACAGTTCACAGAATCTTTCTGCCTTGACATTTCATTACTTCCTGGGTTAAAGTCTGTTTCCTAAACAGTGTGGCTGGAAGGAGTTCAACACTGACTAGAGGGAGGACAGGAAATGAGAGATGACTAGCTGGGAACACGTAAACTGTTACTCCCAAAAAAGGAGGGGAAATCACATTTCTATCTAGATTCAGTTCCCCTGACTGAACAACAGTGCCAGAGAAATCCTGGAAAACTCCGTGATATGAATGTAAGAACTGAGGAAGAGTTCTGGCCCTACCCTGGTTCAAGACCAACCAGGAACTTGTTTAACAATTGCATACTCCTTCTGTCCTCCTCACAACACACAGAGAGACAGCAATGAAGAGTCATACCACACGGTGCACAGATGTGCTTTCTCCTCTCCTTCGGATCCACCCACCACATGTCCACACAGCATAACCCAGGAAGGCGATGTAGATGTATCATATGTCTTCTCTTTCCCCACCCTCTCTCTCTTACTTTCTCTTTCTTTTTCTTTCCACCAACCCCCAGGTGCTCTACAATCTTACTCAGCAACATTTCAATGAATATCTAAATGGATAGGCCAGAATTTGTCTATGGCTAGAGAAGGGGGGAAGAAACACAAGGTGAGTAAGAGGAAAGAACGAGTGGGAGAAAGAGAATGTTGTGGGTAGAGAGCCAGTGAGGATGTCCAGCCAAAGTGACCACAGGCTGTTAGTCAGTTTCACTTCCCTTTGAGGAAGCGCTGGGAGACAGTACCAGCTCTGCCAGCCTCCTGCATCCTTTGCCTGCTTGGGGGTATTTATTTCACTGTTCATTAGCACCTCCCCCAGAGGTAAAGGCTGAGAAACTTGAACCACCATGGCTCACAGGCAGCCAGCATGACGACTTAGCTTGAGGCTAAGCCTCTAGAGAGGCTTGGAGAATGTTCTTCAGGCTACTTGGATAAATTAGGAAAAGTCAAATTCTTTACTTACAGACAGACTTCTTCCCCCAATTCTATTTGCTGTTGCTATAGTTATTTGAGGAGTGATTTATGTGCAACAAAAGGCTTTATTGCAGAAAGGAAAGTGTTCACTCTCTTATTGTACCCAGCAGTCAAGTAACTGAGTTTGGATCCGCTTTCCACAGGGTTGTCCTCACCCTGTGCTGGACTCAGAACAGGAGCCCACCCTGGGGAGAAAGACCCTCAGATGACCTTTTAGGAGACCCCCACACCACTTCTGTTCATTCTGATCATTATGGAGAGTTGGAAAATAGTCTGAGAAAATACTCTTGGTATGAAGAAGACCAAAAAAAAAAAAAAATCCTTAGAATTTTAAATCTCCAAACAAATGCCAAAATTTGAATTTCTAAAAGATTAATAAGCAGTATAAGTAATACCCTAGGGAAAAGTGGGGGAGGATCCAAACACAGTATAGTTTTGTTTTTGTTGGCTGAGATTTTATTTTTGTTTTTGTGGGACTTTGGGGGTGGGGGGCGAAGTGCTTGAAAATTAAGGAATTTGACCATTTATTTAAGGAGGTTACTCTTGGCTTCCCAGTCTAAGTTTTGTATGTTGCTCGCTCCAACTCAGATGCCAGTAGGTGATAGCTCTAGGTTTTACACAGTTCCTGACTTCCTCACTCAGGGCAAAAGGCTCGTCCTGTGTGCACAGAAAAAGTTGGAAAATATTTTTTGTGATCTGAGAGCTGCGGAGAGTCTAGGATTCCAGAGGAAGTAGAAGCCTCCCGCTCCACACAGGAAACAATCTTCAAGCAGGCCTTAAATGCCAGATTCCAGGCCGAGTTTAACTAAACACTGACAGCTCTGTAAACAAAGCAAGGACAAAAAGAGCCCGCTTCCCCTTTTCTGGGAGTCATTTTGGGTTTGGGGGCTGCAGGGGAATTCTGAAATACTTGGCTCCATGGCACAGAAACAAGGGAGAAGCGGGTTTCTCCATTGAAGAGCTGGAAGGGGAAGATATTTCTGGGATTAAAACCATCCAGGAGGAGGTAGGGAAGGGTGAAAGGGTTGGGTGACATCTGTAGAAAGAGCAGGGACTTTTGAGCCCTGAAAACAACTTGAACATAACAGCTGTTTTGGAGTTTTTGCCTTTTAAAATGCAGCTGCGTCATACTTATTCATTCTGTCTGCCTTCTTTAACATTCTTTTAGAATATGCAAATTATGCCCAGGTACTTACTTCTCTTCTGCTTTTACTTTTTGCTGAGTTCCTTCCCAGGTCTTTACTTGACACTGCTCTGGTTTTTTTTTTGTTTTGTTTTGTTTTTGTTTTTCTACTCTTGTTCTCTTTTCCTCTTTCTTTGTTCACCATTGGTGACTTTTGTCTGTGCTTCTGCAAGTCACCAAGAACCAAATCTCTTCAGTTTCTCTCCACTAGTACAGTGATATTTCAAGGCTTTAAAACCGCGCTGTCTCCTGAGGGCTTGATTATTTTTTAAACTGTGTTTCTGGAATTTTACTTATTTGTCTCTCATGGTTTCATGAATGAGAGTGAATTTAACACATAAAAGGACTCAGCTGGGAGTCAGAAATTGATCACTGACCACCTCATCAGTCTCCTGAGGTGTTTTTCTTAGGAGTAAAGAAAAAGAAAGGAGGGGATGAAAATGCTGATGAGGGGGTGCTAAAGTGATTCACTGGAAATAATACTCTGACTCATCCACAATATTGGCTTCGCATCCTCCCCTTAGACCCAGACATCATCTGGTCTCCTAACCCTGAAACCACAACATGGATGATTTTGAACGTCGCAGGGAACTCAGGAGGCAAAAGCGAGAAGAGATGCGTCTGGAAGCAGAAAGGTAAGGATCTGGTGATGATGATTCTGTCACTAACTGTGTTGGTCTCAGGCCCCCAAGTTCAATGTGCTGAGAAGCCAAATATGTGCCACGCGAAAGTAGTTGTGGAAAGTTTTCTTAACTGTTAAGACTCTAAATTTGGCATTAAGAAGGAAAGAGATTGAAGAATTATTAAGAAGTTGCATTCAGTCAGGGACTTTCATGTTGGAATTTTCAGGTGGCAATGACAGCATGTGGAGTTAAAAATCATCTATAACATTGAAATAACAGAAAAAGGATCGATATGGAGTAACATGGAAAATGGGAATCTTGGGTCTGTAAAAGTAAAGTCAATATAGCCCAGTTAGATCTTGTGACAAATCTATTCTCGTATTAAAGACCTCCAATTTCAGTAGTCTACTGCTTGTGGGTTCATTAAAGCCAGTGGAGAACATTACTGTGAGGATTCTGAGTCTTTTTGGAAGCTGTTAGGTTGTGTGAGGCCTCTGTGGAGGTGGTTTCAAGGGCAGATTGAGGAAATAAAGCAGTGACATTGAAGCATGGGGCATAAATGTATATTTTAAAATTTTAGTGGTATTTAATGGGACTTCTGTTATTAGATGTTCTTTTGAGAAAACTAAGGCAGTTTTCACAGGAGAAAAACTGTTAAACAATGTTCTTAATGTCAACCAGTCATTCCAGTGTGTGTGTGCACACACACATACAAAATGGTACTAGACAGAGACTGTGCAGAGAGGTATATGTGATAAGAGTACACTGGTGTATTTATCTACACCTACAGTGGACTGGACTTTAGGACACCAGCACTGGTAGAGCTAGCATTATATACACAGAAATGAGATCTGGAATCAGAGCAGTGAATATTGAAGTGAAGATATTCTAGGAGTCTTTAGATGAAGGGAATTTAACCAAACCTTCCAGGAGGTTAGGTCTGAGGAGCTAGAAGGAAGATCTCTCCATATTCCCAGATGGGGAAGGATTTCACTGTTGGGTAGGTGTGTTTAATTTCAGGTGGAAACTCATCCAAATAAAGAGTCCCTCTATTTTCTATTTAGAGTTCGTAAAGACTTAATGGAAATCACCAAAGGAAACAAACAAACAAACAAACAAACAATATTAAGGCGGTGAGGAGAACCAGGAAGAGGATGGGGCGCTAACATTGAGTGGACATTGAAGTCTTGTAGGCGATATCAGGACCCAGTGAAACTTACCTCTTATTCTTTCCAGTAATGTGTTGCTAGCTTTTCCTGAAAGTCTATGAAGCAAATACTTCTACCCAACATACTTGTTAATCACCACCCAGCTTCCTGTTATCCAGTAAAGATGGATGACAGTGTATTTTTTTGTATATAAAGGAAAGAGCTCTGAGGCATCATGGTGGAAGGTAGGCTGGTTGTTTGGTTAAAGACATGGGCTTTAGCATTAGACAGCATGCTCAATCCTAGCTCTGCTACTTATTAACTCTAAGACCTTGCAGATTATTCAATCTTCTGAATCTTCTGTTTCCTCATCTTTAAAATGGGGAAAGTAATAATAGCTCCCTTATAGAGCTATAAGGAAATAAAACATATAAAGGTATGAACATACTCACAGGTAGCATTTATCAGGTAATTATTATTTATTGAGTTATTTTTTGAATGTTATTCAAGTGTGTGTCACTATAGTTACTATTATCTCAATTTATTCTCTGCAACCCATCAGTACTTGATGATACCTGTTATAATTACCATATACCAGAATGAAATGAAAAACACAAGGATTTTCTTTGTATACATCTCAGAGGATACAAGAACTCTTGGCTAGATGAAAACAGGAGTTTGCAATCAAATGAAGAGTTTTGAGCAAGTAGATGTGATAGTCAAGAGAGCATTGCATTGTCTTGGCTAAAAATGTAAATACCAATTCAAGCTGAGCTCTTCTCATAGATTTAGCAAAAAAAAAAGATGTTGAATTTTGGTGTCTCTATGAGAACCCTTCAGTGGTGCTTCATTCTTGAGCTTCAGTCTGGCATGCTTTTCTGGATGCCAGGCTCCACTTGACAGCACGGAACCCTCTCACTTTGCCGAACTCATTCCAGTCCCAGTGCTTGCTTCCCACACCCTATGTGAGTCTCACTTTCTACACAGAAGAAAGGCCCCTATTGTAAAGTTGTGTTATCACATTTAGTGGCTCACAGACATAAATAAAGGGAATGAAAACACTCTTGTTGTTGTCATTGTTCATACATTTTTATGGGCCTCTGAAATATCTTGATGATTCCATATTTTAAAGTAAATATTTTTACTACACTGGAAAAACAAACAGTTTTTGAAAGTCTACTGTGTCTGTGTTGGCCCCTCCCAGAATTGTGTCAGTGAAACTCTTTTACATGATTTAATAGCATGACCAATCAACATTTATAACACGCACTCTCACACACACACTATTATTCACAATGCTTAGCATTGTGACCTTGAAATTTTAAATCAAAATTTTAAATATAGCCTATGAAATATAACCTAGAATTTTATCTGAGGAATTCATTTTAGCAAAAATAGTTCTCAAGTGGGAAAAAAGTACCAAATTTTTCATCTAATGTTAGAAAGGAAAAGGAACTATCATTTATTTAGCATTAACCAAGTGCCAGCATAGGCGAGGCATTTTATATACCTTCTATCATTTGATTGTCAAAACAACCCCATACCTTTCCTAGTGTCTTCAAGCTATTATAGCAATACGAGAGATGGGGTGGATTAAAAAAACAACAAAAAATTCTTTCTCAAGTTCTGGGGTCTAGAAAGTCAAACATCAAGGTATCAACAGACTCGGAATCTCATGATGATTCACAGATATCCTGTCTTCACTGTGTCCTCACATGGCAGAAGGGTTCTGGGAGTTCCCTGGTGTCTCTTTCATAAAGGACATGAAACCTACTCATGAGGCTCCAAGATCTATTCCCCAAAGGCCCCTCCTCCTAACACCATCACCTCGGTTTTCAGTTTTCGAACTCTGGGGAGACACCAACATTCGATCTGTTGCCAACTGGGATATGATTATTCCTGTTTAACAGCTGAAGAGTCTGTAGGTTTACAAGGTTAAATAGCTTGTCCAAAGTCACACAGCCAGGGAATAGCAGTAGTTTCTGCCAACCCCAAATCTCAAACCTCTCCACTGTCAGAGATGGAACGGGTTATTTTATGTACAACTGGTTGTTTTGGCTGAAGGTCCACCGTCTCTAAAAGGCCAAACTTAATCCCTAAGATAGGGGAAAATCACAATAGGCAAAATGAGGCTATTGGGCCTAGTTGAACCATTCTTCATATTTATCCAGGTAAATTGCTTACATGCATAGACACAGTCATTGTTTTGTTTGCCCTCATAAAAATCTACCATTTCACAGAAAAATAGAAACAGAGATCATGTTTTCCCCCTTAAGCCAAAGAAAGCTGTTGGTAGAACTGTGCTTGGCTTTTCTCTAGATTCTTCTCAGTAAGACTGTATTCACCATTAGGACAGGGACTTTGTCACATCATCACTCACAAAAGCTTTTGGCTGTCACTGGCCTATAGATTATCTTCTGCAGTAGAATGTTACTTTTTCATTTTTGGACCACACATTACTTTGAGTCTCTGATGAAAGCTATCAACCCTCCTCCAAGAAAAATGCATATGTAAACTCATAATCTTGGCACTTACCTTCACTGGTGTCTGTGGACCTCCATCCACAGACCTCCTGGGGCCCATGAACTTGAGGCCAAAAATCTCTGATCTAACAAACTTTAAAAGTTTCATTTTACATATGAGGAAACATTAGTCTGAGGAGATTGACCTCCTCAAGGTCATCCAGCTAAACTGAGGCAAAACTCTTGCACAGTGCAGATCCCTGAATAAATGGGACCACCGCAATGTTGCTGCCTGTATAAAATGCCATAGCTTTTGAGTAGGAAAAAGTATATACTGCAGTGTATCACACATAGGGTGGATGTTTTTATTTAAAAATCATTACGGATAGTATTTCTAAATTAATGGACATTAAATTAGATTACTTCAGATAAGTTAATTGAAAAACAAAGTAAGTAGATAGCTGAATGAAAACATTTATTAGAAACTTGGCATCAAATTTTGCCATTTGAATCAAGAAGCAATAAAGAACAACGGTGATTTTGCAAACAACCCAATTTGCCATCAACTTTGGAAGTCTTTTATTTGGTATATATTGCTTTGGCAAGATTTCTTTAAACAAACGTTCATTATGATATAAAGATATTATGAAGGATTTATCCATCTTTGCCAGTTTCATTTTAGCAATCCAAAGTCACCTAAGGATTTTTCTCTGTAAATGTGAAAGAGATTAGAATGAATTTGATTCCTTATAATGATTTCATGTTTCATCTTTATTGCTACTACCTTTTGGGGGAAGATAGAGCACATGTGGAATGGAACAAAAACTTGCCACCTTCTAGAAAGCCAGACCTTGCAGACTCAAACCTTGGGGTTACCAAAGATAACTATATTTTACTTCTCTAAGCCCATATTCTGATCAGGAAAATGGCCGTCTTAGCAGTTCTTCCTCATAAGTTTTCACATAGGTTGTATGTGACACTAGATGATTCATATAGATAGATAGATGAATAGATAGGCTGATAGATATAACATATACATGCTATGTAAATATGAAATGTGATGCATCTATAATATATATATGTGAATATATGATTGGTGCCAGTTATTATTGCTTATCACAGCTGGTTTGGGCTGGATAGAGAACATGGCAAGGAAGTTGTTATCAAGAATGTCTTCTCTGGAATTATCTCCCAGGAAAGGAAGCCTCTTGGCTTCCCAGAAGGGGGTTCTATATCACCAAACATGGAGCATAGTCCTAGGCCTCCAGTCAGTTTGGTGTCTAATCTCTACTCTGCGTCAAGTCTCTTTTAGCTACCACCAAGAGAGTGATAGGCTTATGGGCAGGAAGTCTCCATGCAGAGCAGAAAACTCATACCTCCTTAGATTTAAGTCTTTTTTCAT